TTTGGCTTAGGTCTGTTTTATCCATTGTGTTGGGTACTCAGTAGGTCATTTCAGGCAGACAACTCATATCTTTTAGTTCTGAGAATTTTTCTTGAATTGAAACAATTTCCTTTTCTTAATTTTTTTCTATCTTCCCTTCTTGGACTTACTATATTTTAGATACTGACTTTCTGAGTGAATATATATATATATATATACACACACACACACACACACACACACACACACACACACACACACATATATTTTTTATTTAAAGATTTTATTGGGAATTTGGTGAGGGAACAGCGTTGGGGAATCAGGGAAGGGGAACAGACAAGTTGCTGTCCTTTTGTTCTTTAGTCTAGTTGTGGAGGACGTTGCTTCACTGGCCCATGTTGGTATTGTGATCATTGCGCTTTTCCCAGCTGAGGCAAATCGGTCGCCGGCCATTGAACGGCAGCTCACGCTGGCTACTGGCCACTCACAGTAACTCACGGCAGCCCCACTGCAGCCCACACCGTCGCCGGCGACTCAGGGCAGCCCAGCTTCAGGTTGAGCTGTTGTTCCGCATCTTAGCTGTAGAGGGCGCAGCGTCACTGGCCCTCATGTGGGATCCGAACTGGTGGCCCGGCTGCTCAGAGCTGGTGCTCCCAAACCAACTCTTAACCAATGAGCCACTTGGCTGGCCCTGATTCTGTATTTTTGTCTTTTTTCTCCTACTTTCATCTATTCCTTTTTTCTTCTTCATATTCTAAGTTCTTAGGTTCACTTTTTGTTGAAGAGTAATATAGTTCAGTGACCTTTTACATACTGAACACATCATATTATAAAGACCCAGATCCAAAAACATCTCAGCACCCCAGAACCATTCCTAGTGGGGTAACCATTATTCTGACTTTTTAAAACTAACCTTTTTCTTTTGAGATAATTGTAGATCCTCATGCTGCTGTAAGAAATAGTACAGAGATAGCCCGTGCATCCCGTGCTCACTTCCCCTCAACAGTGATGTCTTGCAAAACGTCAGTACAATAGCACACCAGGATGCTGACTGACATTGATATAGTCAAGATGCAGAATATTTCTGCCACCCCTAGTGTCCCTCCTGTTGCCCTTTTGTAGCCATCTCTACCTCCCTCCTGCCTGCACTCCCAACTGAACCCCTGGCAATCACTTCTCTGTTCTCCATTTCAACAATTTAGTCATCCCAAGGATGATACATGAATAGAACCATAGAGTATATAATCTTCTGAGATTGGCTGTTTTCACTTTTCATAATTCTTTGGAGAGTCATTCAGGTTACTGTATGGGCAATAGTTCTTTTTTTATTGCTGCATAATATTTTGTGGTATAGATGTACCACAGTTTGTTTAACCATTCATCCATTGAAGAGCATCTGTGTTGTTTCCAGTGTTGGACTATTATGAATAGAGCTGCTATAAACATTTGTGTACAGTTTTTTTGTATGAAATGAGTTTTCATTTCTCTGGGATAAATGTAAAGAAGTGCAATTGCTGAGTCATGTGGTAGTCATATGTTTAGATTTGTAAGAAACTGCCAAACTGCTCTCCAGAGAAGCTGTACCATTTTACATTCCCACCAGCAATGTATGAATGATCTAGTTTCTCTGTATCTTTGTCAGACTTTGGTGTTGTCACTCTTTTTATTTTAGCCATTCTTACAGGTGTGTAGTGATATATCATGTCATAATATTTACATTTCCTTAATGGTTAATGATGATGAACATCTTTTCACGTGTTTCTTTGCATCTGTATAGCCTATAGATCCTTTTTGGTGAAATGTCTCTTCATTTCTTTTGTCTATTTTTTAATTGGATTGTTTGGTTTTTTAATGTTGATTTTTGAGAATTCTTTACATATTATATATAATAGTCCTTTGTTGAATATGTGGTTTACAAATATTTTCTCCTAGTCTATAGCTTCATCCTTTTAGTAGGGTCTTTTGCAGATTAAAAGTTTTAAATGTTGATGAAATCTAATTTATTAAGTTTTCCTTTTATAAATCATGCTTCTGGTGTTAAGTCTAAGAGCTCTCTGCCTGGCACTAGAGCATGAAGATTTTCTCCTAGGTTTTTTTCCTAAAAGTTTTATAGTTTTACATTTAAATCCATGATATGTTTTGAGTTAATATTCCTATAAAGCATGAGATTTAGATTGACATTCCTTTTTTGCCTATTGATGTTTCATTGCTCCAGCACCAGTTGTTGAAAAGGTTACGTTTCCTCTGTTAAATTGTTTTTGCATCTTTGTCAAAAATCAGTTGGGAATATTTGTGGATTTATTCTTGGGTTCTCTGTTCTGTTCCATTGATCTATGTGTCTGTCCTTCTGCCAGGACCACACAATCTTGATCGATGTATAGCTGTATAATATATCTTGTTTTTCAAAATTGCTTTACCTATTCTAGTTCCCTTTCCTTTTCATATACATTTTTAGAATAATCTTGTCTATATCTACAAAAAAAAAACTTGCTGAGATATTAATAGGGATTGTGTTAAACCTATATACAGATTTGAGGAGAATTGAAATCTATTGTGTTGAGTATTCCAATCCATGAACATAGTATGTCTCTCCATTTATGTAGATTTTTTATTTCTTTCATCAGCATTTTATAGTTTTCAGCATAAAGTCCTGTACATGTTTTGTTAATTTGTACCTAAATATTTTTATATATTTTTAGCAATTGTAAGTGGTATTATATTTTAAATTTTGGTGTCCATGAATTCATTGCTAGTACATAGGAACACAGTTGATTTTTTGTATGTTTATCTTATATCCTGTCAACTTGTCGAACCCACTTATTGGTTCTAGAAGATTTTGGAGATTTCTTGGGATTTTCTGCATAGATGATCATTTCTAATAAAGAGAGTTTATATCTTCCTTTTTGATCTGCATGAGTTTTGTTTCCTTTTCTTTCCTTATGGCACTGGTTAGAACTTCCAGCACTGTGTTGCATAAGAGTGGTGAGACCAGATAGTCTTGCCTTGTTCCCTGTCTTAGGAAGAAAGCATTCAGGCTTTCACCATTGAGTGTAATGTTACCTGCAGATTTTTGTAGGTAATCTTTATCAAATTGAGGAAGTTCCTCTTTATTTCTATTTTTTTGAGACTTTTCATGAATGTGTTTAGTTTTTGTCAAGTGCTTTTTCTGCATCAGTTGATTAGGAACATAATTTTTTTTTCTTTAGTGTCGTGATATGGTGGATTACACTGGTTGATTTTCAAATATTGTACCAGTATAGAATCCTTGGAATAGATTCCACTTAGTCATAGTGTACAATTTTTTTGTATATGCCTAAATTTTCTTTTCTAATATTTTGCTAAGAAATGTTTGTGTCTGTATTTATCACGGATATTGTTCTGTAGTTTTCTGGTTTTTGGACAGTTTTGTTCTGAATATAGGATTCTGCATTGACAATTCCTCTTTCAGCACTTTAATATTGTTCTCCTTCCTTCTAAAAAGAAATCTGTGATTGTTGGAATTGTTTTCCCCCCATAGGTAAGTTATGGTTCTTTTTTCACTGCTTTCAAGATTTCTTCTTTGTCTTTGGTTTTCAAAGTTTGCCTATGCTGTGTACTGGTGTGGGTTTCTTTTGCTTGGAGTTCATTTAGCTTCTGAAATCTGTAGGTTTATCTCTTTTGTCAATTTGAGAAGTTTTCAGTCTGTATTTCTTTGAGAACTCCTTCCAGGATTCTGGTGACATGAATGTTCAATCTTTTGCTATAGTCCCATAGGTCCTTGGGACTGTTAATGTTTTTCAGTCTATTTTCTCACTGTTGTTTAGATTGTGTAATTTCTATTCTGTCTTTCAGTTCATGATTCTTCCCTCTGTCTTCTCCATTCTTCTGTTGAATCTATCGAGTTTGTTATATTTTGGTTATTATATTTTCCAGTTCTAAAATTTCCATTTTGTTTTTCTTTATATATTTCTTTGCTGAGACTTTGTTTCTGTGCTTCAACTTTCTATCTTTTCATTTGCTTTAAGCATGTTTATAATTGCTTGTTGAAGCATTTTTTTTAAAGATGTCTGTTTTAAAGTCATTGTTAGTTTATTCTAACATTTCTTTCATCTCAGTGTTGATATCTGTTGATTGTCCTTCATTTCCTGGCTCTTGGTATGATAACACTATTTTTTATTAAAACCTTACATTTTGGGAACTGTGAGATTCTGGTCTGTTTTACGCCTTCTGTTTTAGCTGGATTTTTCTGACACTGCTCTAGCAAGGGAATGGGAGATGCTGCCTCATTACTGCCAGGTGGAGGTAGAATTCCAGGCTCCCCACTCAGCCTCTGTTGACACCTGATGGTGAATGGCTTCTTATTATGAAGTGGAGATGGGTGTTCTGGCTTATTATTAGGCCTCTGCTGATACCTCTGGATGGTAGGGGTAGGAGTGTCTCTGGGTAGCAGTGCCTCAGTAACTGCCCCCACATGGCCTTCACTGACACTGCAGTGGGGGGTGGCCTTATTACTGCTGGGTGGTGGTGCAAGTCCTGACTGTCTACTAGTCCTCCCCTAATATCACCCCAGAGGGGAAAGGGAGGCGTGCTTTGTTATTGAAGGTGCAGTGGAAGTCCAGGCTTCCCACATGGCCTCCACTGACACTGTTGTGGGGATATGGTTTCATTACCACCTAGCAGGGATGAAAGTCCTAGCTCCTTACTTGACCTCCTCTGACATCACCTCAGCCAAGGGATTGGGGCGACCCATTACAGCCTGGTGTAGGTGGAAGTCTAGGCTCCCCACTTGGCCTTTGCTGGTAGAGGTAGGAGTATTTGACTATAGTTTTTGACTGCCAGTTATGAGTTATTTAAACTCACCATGCCTCATTTTTCTCATGTGTAAAATGGAGACGATAATAGAGATATTATAATGAATGTGAACTAATACATATAAAGATCTTTAAACGTTACCTGGCACAGAGTAAGTGCTCAACAAATGCTGTGTGTTATTTTTTTTCTGACGTTTTCTTAAACTGCAATCCTTATGAGCATGTCTTGAGAAATGTACATAATATAAGCAACATGAAGGCTGTTTCCTTACCAGAATGTCCTTGTCATGCCTGTGGTGACTAAGTCTTGTTGCAAATGTGCAATTGGCTCCCTGTTTCTCATTGCATTTGGGGTCGTGGGTAAGAGTTTCTTCCTATTTTTTCTAGAAACTAAACGGTTTTAGCTACCTTTATTTTCTAAAAATTTTAGGTTTTATAATGCAGTGGATTTGTTTGAACAGTAAAATCAAGAAACTATAAATGCTATTTTCAATTCCCTGTATTTGGTTTAGACATAATCCCTATCATTTGTACATTTTCTGTAGGAATCAATGAAAGATTGAGAATGAACCTAAGCTATAAACTTGCCAATGGTAGGCAGTCAGTCAGTCAGTGGTCACAAAGAATATTTGATTATTTTGAAAGCTATTTTTTTTTAAATCAGTATTGTATGGCTAAAAATGATAAATGGTGAGACTTCTCTCTCACAATTATTATTATTAGCTGTAGTTTGAAGCTCAGTTTTCTGTAAGATGAAGTTCTATGTTTGAATGTTATCAATTTCATTACTAAGCCATCTTTTAAATTTTACTTTACAGATCAACAATTAAAATTTTGAAGGTCAAACTTTCTGATGGTGGTGACAAGCCATGGCGACAGATGATAAAGTTGCCATCTTAACCGATGATGAAGAGGAACAGAAGAGAAAATATGTGCTTGCTGATCCCTTTAATGGTGTTTCCAGGGAACCAGAACCATCTTCAAATGAAACACCCTCCTCCACAGAAACAGCAGCTATTCCTGAGGAGGATATAGACTGGATAGAAAAACACTGTGTTAAAATAAACAACGATCTTCTGATTTCCAAGGTCTTTTATTTTTTCTTCTACTCTGCATATGGCTCTCTTTACCCACTTTTGCCTGTGTATTATAAACAACTGGGAATGTCACCTAGCCAGAGTGGATTGCTAGTAGGTATTCGATACTTCATTGAATTCTGTAGTGCCCCCTTTTGGGGTGTAGTTGCAGATCGCTTTAAAAAAGGCAAAATTGTCCTCCTCTTTTCTCTCTTGTGTTGGGTTTTATTCAACCTGGGCATTGGATTTGTCAAACCGGCTACCTTGAGATGTGTACCAAAGATACCCCCAACAGTTCACCCCACCAATTCAAGTCACCTGCTGACTATCCTGCCAACAAATTCTTCCATTATCTCTTCCAAGATCACATCACCAAGAATGCGTGAGAAAAGAAACCTGCTACTTTCCAATGGGCCAGTGATATTAGAAACAGGGCCCAATAGCACAGCTGTCATCTTTTCGACAGCTCCAAACATGACCAGTGCACCCACTCTGCAGCCTCAGATGGATGAAATTACAGACCATGTTATGGACTTGACCTTGAACCCAAGCACAGCAACCCTTGCCCCATCAAGAAATGTAACCAGGGAGACAACCACTGCTATTGTCACTACCACCAAATCTTTACCTTCTGACCAAGTCACTCTTGTTTATGATCAACAAGAAGTAGAAGCTATATTCTTGGTAATCTTGGTAGTTGTCATAATAGGAGAATTTTTCAGTGCCTCTTCGGTCACCATTGTGGACACGGTAACACTCCAGTATCTGGGGAAACACAGAGACCGCTATGGATTGCAGCGCATGTGGGGCTCCCTGGGCTGGGGCCTGGCGATGCTGTCCGTGGGCATCGGGATTGATTACACCCACATCGAGGTGCTCATTGACGGGAAGGGGTGTAAGCCCCCTGAGTACCGAAACTATCAGATTGTCTTCATTGTCTTTGGCGTTCTCATGACCATGGCCTTGATTGTTGCTACTCAGTTCCGGTTCCGCTATAACCACTTCAAAAATAATGAAAATGAAGGGAAAGAGGTGGAGATCCCTCAGGTGGAGAGGAACAGCTCCACAGAGTCCTCTGAGGAGACACCGACCATGGCAAGCCACTCGCAGGCCTTCAGCTTTTGGGATTTAATCAGACTGCTGTGCAGTGTGCAGTATGGCTCAGTGTTGTTCGTGGCTTGGTTTATGGGCTTTGGATACGGCTTCGTGTTCACATTTCTCTACTGGCATTTGGAAGATCTGAATGGAACCACAACTCTCTTTGGGGTGTGCTCAGTCCTGAGTCATGTGTCTGAGCTGACAGCTTATTTTTTTAGTCACAAGCTTATTGAATTGATTGGCCACATCAGGTAAGAACATGCTTACTATATCTGCCCCATAGCAATTGAGCCTTATCATTTCCTAGTTTACAGCTCCTTTGGTCACATTTATGTGATAGTAATAATTTGTATTGAGGGTAGGATTGGGTGGGAACGGGGCTTTATGTTGCTCTTTCTCTTTAAAATAGAAACAAGGAAGGAAGTAATGAATTTAGTTGGATTATCTAAAACAAACAAAATATGCTGCTTCCTCTCTGTATTTTAAGAGACTCTTACAGTAAATGTTCTGAGGTATAGGAGCACCAATTTAGTGAACTGTATTATCCATGGACCTTGAAGGGTCCACCTGTCTCAGGCATTTATGAAGGAGCGCTTAAGTGGATAAAAATTGATGTTTTTCTCAGCCACTTGGTGACACACACAGACCCTGAATATATGGTGTATGAAGAAGTCTATTACATTTAATAAGACTGTGATGTGACCCACCATAATCCCTAATCCATGATATTACATGGAGGAAATTTCTTATATAATTTTTTTTTCTGATTATTACATGAGTTTCTGCATTTTTCTCTGCCATGAAGAAATGGGACATTTAAAAATATTCTACCTAAAAATTTCCATGTAATCCTTTCAGTCAAAAGATCTAAATGCCTAGTGTTTCTTCTTCTATAATGTTCCTCAACATTAATGCTTGTCTGAAGTTGATCGAACAACACCTTGCTCTTGATAACTCTTTCGGCTTTGCCGTTGGCCCTACAATAAAGAGCCAGCTACACTTAACCATTCTTTCATCATTGAAAAGTATGGCATATGGGCTCCTAAAACGGGAAGTTGCCATAACTAAAAAAAGCAAGTTGTGTGTGTGTGTGTGTGTGTGTGTGTGTGTGTGGTAATCTTTAAATCTGTTTCGATAAGAAATTATCGAAGGGAGAAATAGACACTGACAAGATCTGAGAAACATTGATCTGTTTTCTTTTAATTTCCCTTTTACTAACTGAAGAAAATATTTTCTAATTTAAAGTTTCGAACCAGTCTTTTCCTCAAACAATTGTGACTGTTTTTCCTCATTTTGTTTGGTTTTGCTTTGGGAACTGTGCCCTGTTCTTTCTCTTTCTCAAATCTTTGACCCCTTCATTGTCACTCAACAAAGTCAGGCACTGTGTGGATGGTTCCCAGACCCAGAGTCCCCATGGCACATTTAGTGGGACCAATCTAAGGAGAGTTTTTATAATATCACAGACTCAGAATGTCCTTTAACCTTGTCCAGGTCATGTTTACATTCTCTGAGCTGTGTGGGTTGACCAAGATGAATGAGACCCTTCTTTTCAGCCTAGGCATATGAGCAGGATCTCCCCTTAACTATTAAAATCACAGTCCTTTACTTCCAGAAAGATACCCAGTTAGGTCTTACCAAGGAGGCGAGTTCCTAGCTGTCATTATTTAATCAGTCAATAGCATTAATTGAATGCTGATTCAGTACAGAGTATGCTACAGGTTTTATTTTCAAAGAAATTGCTAGGTTCTTCTCACATGCTAAAAGAAGTTTCTTTTCTATCTTTACCTTTTGTCTGAGGTATATATTTTCATGATAAAATCCTAGTGGGCTTACTACTAACTTTGGAAATTACATGAGTTTATACTTGTGTTTTTCTTTCCTAAGCATTATTTATTAGTTACTCATTACTTAAAATCTACATCACTTAACCATAATTTTCTGGTTTTATGTACAAAAAGCATCTTTCTTTTCTTATTTAATAGTGTGATGGAGGAAGAATGCTCTTGTGGTCACATTGTTGCTCCCAAGAACCTACTAGGATTTCATCAATTTGTGATCATTTACCTCTTTTGGATTTTAATTCTGTCCATTAAAATATATTATCTTAACTACTTTTAAAAGATTCTGATAGCTATATTGAGAGTATGCCCACATATTCAGAAAGAATGAATATGGGGTTTTTTTAGTGAGAATTTTGGGAGCCCAGTCAGGTGGTGGTGGTTGAGATTTGGGAGTTTGAAAGTGTGGTGGTGACAGTTTAACCTTTCCATTGGAAAAAATGTAGACTAAATAGTTGATGAAGAGAAATGATCTTTCTGTGAATTCATAGTGTTTATGTTGTCCTTGTAGAATCATAAAGAGGGATCTTTCTGTGGCTCTTACATATGTATATGGTTTTCCAGTATTCTGTGACTGTCACAGTGGGAGTTTGTTTTTAGGAGTCAGCACCACCATAAAAAGTATAAATATCCTAAGGTAGTCAAAAGTGGATTTTCCACAAATTCTTTATAAAAATTCATACCAGAAAATATTTTTTAAAATATCATGTCTAATCTTGATCTACTTAGTATTTTAACAGCTCTTACAGTTTGGGCCCAGATTTTCCAGGGAATAACCTATCTATCAATCTAAATACACACACACACACACACACACACACACACACGCACAGAGTAAATGATTTCTGATTTTGACCTTGGATTTTGTCCTCCTCTGGGAAGTGGCTT